TACTCTAGATCTGTATTATCTGGTCAAGTGCTTTTCCTTCTCTTGTTCCTACTGTGATGCCTTCTAAGTAGGTTGCAGGCATATATTTCCTCACATCCCCTTCTAATGGGACTGATCTCAAGGTGTTGTGTGGAGTAGCATCTTTTTTCAAATTTCCAGCTGTTGTATTGCCAGCAGGACTGACAGCAGTTGAGACAGGCTTACAGCCTGTTGGCTTGAATAGGTTTGTGAGCCACATCCTAATGACCTGTTCTGAGAAGAGGTCAATAACCTGGTGATCAAGATGCACATAGACCTCTTATCATTACCATTACTGAATTGGTAATGCAATGATGAAAATTTGTTTTAATGTTAGTATAGGAAACGTTCCAACTTTCTTCCACGTGCTTATTCTGAGCTTTTGTTTCTGAGCAAAACATAGTAGGATGGGAGAAAGATATAATGATGTATCCATAATATCTTGTTTTGAATCTCTTCTGCTTCCCACCCATGACATGCACACTTGTTTAAAGCTTATTCTGGTTTTGCAGTCATCCTTATTGTTATGGGAAGTCTGAGTGGCACAAGTCTAATGCTCTTTAAATGTTAGTATGCAGAACTTCCTTTGTAAACAGACTTCTGTGTATGGGCAAAGGGGAGAATGTCATTAATTGGTACTTTTGACCTTTGACAAGTCCTTGGGGAGGCTAATCATTTAATAAGTAACATTAAAGATGTAATTGAAGGAAATCACCTGCTGTATTGCAGCAGTGTTTTATGCTGGAAGAGAACTAAGAAAGAGAACACTGCCCCTTTTTATTAGGTTGGAAAAACCTTTTGGCTTGTATTTTTGCTGATGTCATCAAAAGGTGCATTAGGTTTTTTTCCCCTTTCTTGGATTCCCTTCCTGTAACCTCCATTTACTTAAAGTAATAGCTCCAGGCAACCTAGGGTGCATGTAGACATGCAGGGATGCTGCTCTGACACACTGTAATTGCAGCATATCAGACCAGACTCAGTTCTAATCAAGTCTGCTGGAGTGTGCTAATTAGCACACTGGCAGCCTCTGTGTCTCATGTATTCAGCATCCCCGCACTTCAAAATGGCTGCGGGGGCACTTTAATGAAAGCACCTGCAGCGTCTCGTGTATTCAAAGTCCTGTGCTTCAAAATGGCAGCAGGGGCACTTTAGTTAAAGTTTGTCAAATGAGCTTTAGTTATAGTTAGAGTGGCTTTTGGAGCCACTCTAATTAAAGCCCCCTCCCCCCCACCCCTGGAGCAGGTGTAAAGACGCCCCTAGTGACTAAACAAAAGTGAATAGCTGGATTGGTTGGTTGATTATTTACTTGCTGCTGCTGTTCAGTAGCCAAACAAAGAAAACAAAGAAAAAAGTTGAATTTGGGCCAAACCAAAATGGAAACATTTGGAGATTTTCAACAAAAAATAATAATAATAATTTTGGATCAAACTAAAATTTTGTTTTGAAACAAAATGAAATATTTTATTTTCAAGTTACCATTTTTAAAAATAATTTTAGATCAGTATTTTAAATTAAAAATGCTGTTTTGAAACTGTCGGAATGAATTGCTTTGGCATTTCCAAACTGGAACTTTATTTAAAGATTGAACCGCAGTGTTCGGCGCTTATTTTTCTACTCAACACTCCAGGGTGGAATGTGAGGAAGGAGGTGGTGGGGAGAAGGGTTTGCTTGGTACATTTAGTATTTATCACAAAAAAAAAAATATTACCAATCTTTGCTAGGCTCCTATCTACTGTCATCACAGAAGTGGCAAAATTGACCATGTTGCTAACATATTGATTATTGGAATGAAAAAAGGTTATTAGTTACCAAATTTCTTGCACATACAGCATCTTGCAGCTTAATGGTATCATGTCCATTTTTATTATCTACTTATGCCAAAAAGACTTAATTATTTCAATGTGGTCAAAAGTTACTTGGCATAGAAAACTGCTGTATGTATGTATGCATGTGCTGTTGTTCAGTAGCCAAACAAAAAGAAAAAAGGGAAAAATGTTGAGTTTAAAATGTATATATTTTAATCTTGTTCTTCTACAACTGGAATGTATATGTTGTTAATGCTCTGGGGCTTCAGATCCACAAACAGGCTTATTATAGCGAAAACGTACTGAAAATAATGGAAGTGGAGAAAGTCTGAAGCAAGACTGCAGCTCATAGATAACTACGTTCCAGTAGGAATGAGAGGGAGGTGCAGCTTTGGCAGGGGAAGTGCTATGAATCTGAATTTTTTAAGTGTTTATACAACAATGAGAAGAGCTGGCCCTTGGTCCCTAAGGACATTAACTGGATGGGTGTGAGGGGCAGCTGTGTTCCGCTCACTCCATCTGCCTTCTCCCTCTAGAGCTGGGGCCCTCTCACACCCTCACAACACCACCGCTTGCACACTGCATGCTAACTGCTTTCACATACTGCTAAACAGAGCTCATTAGTTCAAGTTGAAGGTGGGGTAACGTAGGATGAGATAATGGCTCAGTGACAGAGGAGACTGACATGTTACTGTGTATCTTGAGGTCAGTTGCCTTGTGAAGAATGAAACTAATCCAAGTGATCTTGGGCGATAGGATGCAACTTGGAACCAAATGGTTGTAGTCTAACATGTAGTGTAATTTTAATGTGTGCCTTTTCCAAAGCATGGAAGATTTTTTGGCAGCCAATCAGGCCCCTGTATCTGTCAGCTGCCTTGGATGCTATTGACTATAAGGTTTGCTAGACACCTTTGCAGGAGCTGGAGTTGCTTTGGAATGCCTCCATTTGTTTTCTTGTAAGAGATCAGAGACTCAGACGTATGTGAGCAATTGTTAATCTGCCCCAAGGGTGCTGGGGTTCACTTGTCTACATGGGAAAATTGAACCAGTCTGATTTTTTTAAATCTGTGTGTGTGGGCTGCCTTTTCTCTGAAAGTGGGTTATTCACTTTAGACTAAATTCAGCTGCAAAATGCTACTTTTTCTTTGAAATATCTGTCTACATACAGTTTATTGGTTTGAATTCACAAATTCCTATCAAAATGAGACCTTTGTTTTTCTTGTCATCCTCCATTCTCAACATGTTTGTGAGATTATCAAGAGTATCTGGGCTACAGCACACTCAGTATGTGGTATCTAAACTTAGTGCTACTTTCTCAGGGTGCAGACACATGACATGCTTACCCTGGGGTAATTTTACTTTGAATAAAATTGTGCCTATATCTGGAGAGCCATACAACCAGCTCTCTGGGGATAATTGTCTGCAGTAGGTACTACTGCAATTCCTCACCAGTAGCTGGGATGTGAGCCAGCAACAACCTGGTTTGCAGGGCTGGTCCAAGGGTAATTGGCACTCTAGGCGAACTGTGTACCTCGGTGTCCCTGCTACTGTGTACCGCAGCACCCAAAAGGTAGGAGTTGCGATTCTAGTGATCTTTCCTCTGAGATCTTTTCAGAGGTCTTTCTCCCCTTGCTGAACCAAAGGTCTTAGACCAAGGTGGAGCCATAGCCGGCCAGGGCTGTTATTTAGAATGATGTTCCTGTTGTTTTGTTCTGCATATAATTTTGGCGCCCCCCAAATTTTGGCACCCTAGGTGACTGCCTAGTTTGCCTAATGGTTGGACTGGCCCTGCTGATTTGCAGTGATAGAAAGGGCTACCTTGGGATGAAATTTATTAGCGCTTCAGACACCAATGTAAAGTTTTACTCCTCACTTTCCAAAGGGTAACTCTTTCACAGAGGGAACTGATTTACACCATTGTAAGACTGTTCATTGTCTGTTTACTTCAGGGCAAAAGTAAAGCAAAGTCAAATTATTCCAGAGTATACAAGCCATGTGTCAACACATTCAGTTTAGCCTAGACTTCTAGAAGTACCTTAAGAACAACTAAGAAATCTGAAACTGCACCCTAGGATTGCTTCGAGGACTAAACGAAACAATTACAGATTTTGAGAGTGAAATAACTAGCAAGCTCTTTCTTGTTACTTGAGGGAGGTCCAAGTCTGTCAGAATGAGAGTTAAATGTATTATTTTTAAAACTTTCTGTAAACTTGTATACGGACTTTCTGTGGTCATCAGATTTGTATCACACTAGTGCAGCCTCCTATGATCCAGTTTGAAAAGCCCAAGTCTCTAATCAGATGTTTCCTAAGATTAGCTAGACAATATATAAGGTTTGCTCACAACTTTGCCCTCTAGACCCAAGTGAATATCAAAGCTTTTAATTTGCATGTTCTATGGGAGCACAAATAATTGATGCTATCCACCAGACAATGGTATAAACGAACACAGGGCATTCATATTGGCTCAGCTAGTACAAGGGTTTTGAGAGAGAAGGGTGAGTGAGAGACAGGCCTAATGCAGGGAGTTGCATGGGAAAGTTAAGCAAAACAGAAGTGCAGTATCATGCTGGCTTGTAAGGTACCTAGCTTTGCCAGGGACAACAGGTGAACTAGCACTAATGTGTATTATTTTGTGTTTCTATTTGCATAGCTTTGCTAAAGGATTCCCTTTGGTCTTGCTCATGCCTTGGTTGTGCCAGGACTTGCCAAGAGTTTCAAACATTGTTACAAATATAGTTGTAATACAGCAGGTGCCCCTGTGCAATACTAACTCTGTATTCAGGAACTGTGCTGCAGAGTAGCTGAGTGCTACTTGGCTAAAATTAATTCTGGGAGGTAGATCATGATTTGCTCTAGTACCTTTGTGTGTCTAGCCATAGTTTTCTCCCCAGGTAAACCTCACATTTAAACCCCTAAGTAAACCCTCATATTCTGCAACAGCTTTGCAATCTATTTCTGGCATTTAGCAAATGTTCACTGGGCAAGACAATTTACATTAGGTAGGTTTTCAACTTTTTAGCAAGGGTGCCAAAGCAGTATTTGTGCTTCATAGAATAAACTTCCACAACTATTTTGTGCTGTTGAACTATGGGAAGACACTAATGGGCACTTCTTTCTGCTTCAGGTTATGTGCTGGACATTATCTCTAACCAATGCTATGTATTGTTATTTGTAGGTGGTATCAAATGCTGCTGGGCAAGGAGTTACCATTACGGGCAACAACACATTCAACAACTGGAATTGGCCCAATGCCGTGATCTTTGCTGCTACTGTAATCACGACAATTGGTGGGTATTTATCATGTGCGTTCTCTTGGCTGCAGAACTTCTTACAATTCAGTGGCCTCTTGCTCTTTCATTCATGTATCTGGCTATCCATTGAAGAAAAATATACTTCCTAATAACCATGGGAGGTATAAACAAATGAGCAAGCAACCTTAGAACATGTTTTCACGAGGCATGTGTATGAGGCAGTTATGGTTCATCAACACTCAAATCCTTGAAGTATGTAATAAAAATGTTTTCCTTGCTGAGTAATTACATATCCAGTGGCTTGATGAAGTGGGACTGATATAATCCCAGTTCCAATCACAGTTTATATTTGAATGCCTGTTTGGTATAAACCTGGCACCAAGTGCTGCTTATAACTTAAAGGAATATTCACTGGGACTCAAAGTACAGGTCTTCTACTATCCCAAACAGAGTATTGATAGATACAATCTCATAGGTTCTCTGAAACCTTTTTGTTTTATCATCTCTTTCTCCATTTTTTTAGGGGAAAGGGCAAAAGGTATGAGATGGTCTAAAATTCGCCACTGATCTATGCAGCTAGAACCCGACCAAAAGGTTTTTGCTCTTTTCCAATACGCAGTACCTTGGAAAATCAGCTTCTCTCCCAATGCAAAACCCTGCCTTTGCTATTACAGAAGGCCTTCACTGATATATCTGTAGGACCCTGCGAGATTCAGAAAAACATCAGGGTTATGGGTTGGTTGTTGTTTGTTCTGAAAAAAGAACATCCATGGTGTTGGAAAACACAAACTGACCAGAGGAGGTGAGCAAGTTAGAAACCTTACTGCTAAACCAAATACAGCAACATGTTCCCCCTGTTAATATTATTTAAAAAACCCTTGAAGAAATCTGACTTTATTTTTGCTTGACTTCCAGCAAGAAAAGGTCAGGAAAGCAAACATGGTTTAAACAAATTTCAAGCAGAGGATTAGAAAATAAGCTAGTTGTCTTTCCTGGGTCTGTGCTCAGAATACCTGTGGTTGCTTGTTGAGTTCTGTTACTATCAAAGATTTAAAGCCCTGATCGAGGCAACTTGCACAGTTGTGACCTATTCTCCTCCAGTTGGGTGTCTGATTGCCTCTTTCTGCAGAGATGCTGGGGTATAACATTCATGCCCAGAATGGAGATCTCACAAGGGGTGCAAATTTCTTAGCAGTGGCACTTTTGATTTGCTAACTTGATTTTTTTGTCTTTATGGCAGGAGATGCGGGGGAGGGATTATAGAGGATGCATTTGAATCAGTTTATAAGATTCAGACTTCTAGCAGTATTTTACCAAAAGGGGAAAAAAAACACTTTAGATGCTTCAAGGTGAGGGTTTTTTTAATCTCTTGTTTATCTGATGAGGAGAGAGGCCTCAGAACTTGTAGATAAACCAGGAGACAACTAAAATGCAGCCCTCCATTCCCAGCCTCCACTTAAATATAATACGTTACTTAAAAGAAGGCTTCTAAGTATTTCAGGCCATCAGCATTGGACAGGAAAGGACTGCAGCTTTTGAGTTGTGGATATTTGGTACAGCAAAGGCTCGGACAATGGCTTGTCATCTGTGTATAGACAAACTTGTACTGCTATATGCTTAGCACAAGCCCATAGCTCATGTAAGCTAAATTATATCTTCTTATCTCTTTTTCAGGATATGGAAACGTTTCTCCAAAGACACCCTCTGGGCGTCTCTTCTGCATATTTTACGGTCTCTTTGGGGTTCCCCTCTGCTTGACATGGATCAGTGCTTTGGGGAAGTTCTTTGGTGGGCGTGCCAAGAGGCTGGGCCAGTTCTTGACCAAGAGAGGAGTAAGCCTGGTATGTTTCTTCTCTGGCCGAGTGTTTAGTATGTGACTTAACCTAGTTCTTTGCATGCCCACTTATCTGGATAGTACATTTGGACATATCAAGGGGCAAATTCTGTAGTGATACTACACAATTTGACCTGGAGCAGAACTGGACTCTGTAAGCTGTCATAGACTAATCATAGAGAAGTAGGGCTGGTAAGGACCCTTAGAGGCCATCCAATCCAATCCAATGCAAGGCAGGACTATCCCTGTCCAAACCACCCTATGCAATCCATAATCTAAACTTTTCGTAAAACTGCCATAAACCCTGAGACAACACAAGATATAACATCCTGACTTGCCACAGGTAAAGCAGAGGAACCATGGCAGCCAGTGTCCTGCTTCTATAAAAGGTCATTAATATTTGCTAGGGATATTTCAAGTAAAGGGCCACACCCCTTGCTATAGAAGAAGGCAACAAAATGCACAGTCCATACCTATCTGACCATGGGGTAAAATTCCTTCCTGACGTCAGATATGGCAATCGGTCTGACCCTGAGCAGAGGAGCAAGACCCTCCAGCTAGGAACCTCTGGCTTTAAGTCCCAGCAGGAGCATTGGCACCCCCCAGCCAAAATCCCCAGCCTTGGCTGAAGCCAACAACGAATGCCTCTGAGGGAAGCTTAAAGGCACCCTGACACATGTAGCAGAAGGGTGGGTTGCGGGGCACTCGACACAGCCGCAACACATGAGGAATACCCATAGTAGAACATAGGCATAGCTGTGCCTAAACTATCCTTGACCAGTGGCTGTCCAACCTCTTCTTGAACACTGCCAGTGACGGCCAGTCCACAGTTTCCCTAAGCAACCAGTTCTACTGCCTAAAATCGTTTGCCTCAGTTTGTACAGCACCTTGCACAGTAGGTCATGACTGGGGCTTCTGGGTGATCCTGTACTCTTAGTTCTCAGTATAGAGACACCCTGCACAACAAAACCTGGGGTATTTTTACATGCGCTTTTGGCATAGCGCTGGATGCTTTAATTAGCAAGCCGCACTAATCAAAAGTACCCATGCGTTACATGTATCAGCATCACCGTGTGTCCCCACGCTGCTTTAAACTATAGTTCATTGAACATGTTTTATTTCAGAGCACACACCTGCCATTTTGTTAGCGCAAAGACGCACAGCGTCATGTCAATTTCCATGCTCCAGCAGACTCAATTAATGAGTCTGCTCTGATGTGCTGGATTGCCAGCTCTTCAGAGCAGGCTCCCCATGTGTGTAGGAGCCCCTGTATAGCAGCGTGACTTAATGCAGTAAAACAAAGATCGTACTGTGTACTACTCAGGGTAAAATAGAAATATGCAGACACACATGACCAATTAATAAAGGGTTTTGTGCTGGGGGGAGAGGGGATTAGAATGACCTCTGCACAAGTTCTGGCTCTCTGCACCTGTATGAATTTTGCCTCTAGAGAACTAACAAGCGTTGTAGATTACAGAATTGCTGTTCTCTTGAGGGCTGCCGTCTAAACCAGTGCAATTTGAGTGGCTTGAGTAGTCCCCTGAAAACAGATGGAACTGATGTTCATGAGTTCAGAATATGGCATGCTTTCATCTAAGTGCCCTGGCTGCCCCTCTCTCTCCTCTCCAAAACCCTTTAACGCACCTTCCTGTCAGCCTCATGGTGCTCCCTCATTGATTGTTGCTAGCCTGGCTCTTTTTCTGGTTTCCATGCCCTTGCTTCCAGTGTTCTTTCACAGCATCCTTTTTTTTTTTTTTTTTTGCTACCAAAGCTACTCCAACAGCTATTGCTTATGACCGGATCACCCTGGACAGAAGTGGTGATATGCTCACAGACTGCAGTGATTTCTAGCTATTCAGGCATCAGTGCTTTTACCAAACCTGTGTACTTCACTAACTTACTGCTGCTACTGTAAGGAATTCCTCTACCTTTTGGAGTATGCATGCATGCAAAAAGTACTTGAGGAAATGACCTGAAAGCGCTGTTTTTGAGGTGTCTGAATGATGTGATTTAGTTTCCATTCATTCATTTACTATTTTTAGTCCCCTTTAGCCATGGTTGCTAAAGTCTTACTGCAAAAGTATGAATTGACTAATATTGCTGACATTGGACACACAACAAAATGTGTTGGTTGAAAGAAAATGTGGCTTCTCTCTAAAAAGTTTTTTTGTTGGTTTGTTTTTTTTACTACTTCCCAGAGGCAAGCACAAATCACGTGCACAGTTATTTTCATTATGTGGGGAGTTCTCATTCACCTGGTTATTCCTCCCTTTGTCTTCATGGTGACAGAAGGCTGGGACTACATTGAAGGTCTCTATTTCTCATTCATCACTATCACCACCATAGGATTTGGAGACTTTGTTGCTGGTCAGTAATAACTTACTCTAATGTTGTTCAATGTATGTGTCACGTGTGCTGTCACTTCCCTGAGATGTAAGATTTCCAGAGCCTTCTGCTTTACTGAATATTTCCCTGGTGGTCAACACTGCTCCAAGAGGAGCAGTGTTCCCTAATGGTTCTCAGCATTCACTAATGGTTAATGCTGCTCCAAGGAGCTCACCCTGCAGCTTCTTTAAATGGTACTTCAGGCCAGATTCAATAAAGAGTTAGGCACAGCAACATCTAATCTTTAGTATGTGGCTCCTGAATGGAATCTAATGCTTGTGTTGTGAGGACAGCCCACTGTATGTGCCTAGGGAGAGTTAGGCACCTCTATCGTAGCACCATGCTAAGCAGGGAGCTACCTAAAGTTTGCTGTTCATTGCCTAGGTCTATACAATAGGGAAATGCTGAGGACAGGAAAGGGAAGGTGTCTCAATCCCATCTTTCTTTTCCCAGGATTTATGTGTCTGTCTGTAGCCCTGAGTAAGGTGCCTGCATCCTTTTTTTTTTTTTTTTTAAATGAAAGGAAGAAAACGGTGCTCACTCTTTTTATTTAGACAATTCTGGGAAGAAGCATGGTGCCCACCTCTTGTGCACTAGTCAGGTGGTCAGAGCATTTGCCCAGGATTTGGGAAATCTGAAGCTTTTACTTCCTTCAGCCTGGGAGGGGTCATGCCTGCCTACCTATCCCACATCCCAAGAGAGTTCTCTACCTGTCACACTATGGGCTTGGAAGAGTTCTGGTTTTCACCCCTGCTCTAAGCACTGCTTATGTATTTTATCCTTTGACTACTTAATGTAAAATTGGAGTTGGGGTAGAAAGTGCTTCTTTCCTGCCCAAGCTTGCACTGGTCTCAGCAACCAGTTGAATTTGAGCAACTCACCCTGAGAAACTGACAATGCGGGGTGAGTGACTGAAAATCTCGTGGCCAAAAACACAACAAATAAGTTCTACATTAGTTGGAGTCCTTCATTTTTGGGTGACTTTGAGAGTACTGCTGCTCTTATGATTGTCAGCCGTAGCTCTAATTTTGAATAATGAACACCTCTTTATACATCTTGTTTAAGGCAAACAAGCTTCCAACCAGGCTAGGTAAACAGGGTCCCCATTTTTCAGATGTGAGAAATTCAGACATACTAATGTTGAGGACTCAGTTTTTAAAGCAACTTCTAATCTTGGGCACCACCTACAGACACCTCGGCTCTGGTTTGGCAAGCTGTATTTCTCCCATGAAAATAGTAAATGCTGATAGTTCCAACTGACTTCAAACTAAATTCAGTTATGAGTGACTGCCACCTCTGACTATTGGCTCCTGTGTGTCTAGAGCCCAAAATTACAGAGCACTTTGAAAAACTTGGACATGACTTGCCCTTAGTTGCTCAGGAGAATTTGAAACAACCCACATCTTGGCTCTTAACATTGTTTTAACAACTAAACTGTCCTTTCATTCTGATCCATTTAAAAAAAAAAAAAAAAGTTTGGGGTTTTATTTGCAAGAGACTTCTTTTAAGGTTAGTCCCTTTCTAGGACAAACTTTTTCAAACACTTTCTACTCTGATCCTGTTTTTAAAGGCAGATGTAAAAACTGTGTCCTGAAAAACCTTCAAGGTTTTTTTTCACTCAGGTTCATGAAGGTTATGCCTGGTTGAATACTTTCCTAAAACTGTATATAGTCACAACATGATAGTCGTGTTTTGAATTATTTGCAGGTGTAAACCCAGAAGCAAACTACCATGCCCTTTACCGATACTTTGTGGAGTTATGGATCTACCTGGGCCTAGCGTGGCTTTCTCTATTTGTCAATTGGAAAGTCAGCATGTTTGTGGAAGTCCACAAAGCAATCAAGAAACGGAGGAAAAAAAGGAAAGAGTCATTTGAAAATCACCCTCAGTCTAAAAAAGCCCTTCAAATGGGCACCTCCAAGGATGTGAACATTTTCAGCTTCCTTTCCAAGAAGGAAGAGACCTATAATGATCTCATCAAGCAGATTGGGAAGAAGGCCCTGAAGTCAAACAATGATAATAACATCATTAAAACAGACCATTCCAAACCAAATATGCAGATTGCCAATAAAGATATCCAGGTGACGTACACAAAGAGCAACTCATTCAATTATGATGAGGTTTCCTTAAAACTCAAAAATAGTCGCATTGCGAGGCACCTAAATGACAAACAGACAGACAGCCCACTGGACTGCAACATGTTTGTAAACCAGCTGGACCGAATCAGTGAGGAAGAAGGGGAAGCGTGGGACTCCAGGGATTGTCGTCCCCTAATCTTTGAGAACGCCAATATAACTTTTGTAAATGAAGACGATGATGAAGAGCAAGATCTTTCAGATGATGAGGAAACTTCCAAATCCTCCATGGATGACAATCTTGTAGAGGAGCCTGAGACTCCCAAAACCCTGATGAAGTTTTCGTCTTCAGATGAATCCACATTTACCAGTAATGAGCTGGAAACTTCTGTGCCTTATGAACAACTGATGAACGAGTATAACACAGTAAACAATGGAAAAGCTACAACGTGAAGCAGCACTCATGCTGACCAATGGTTGTCTGATGTTGGTTAATAGCTGGGAGCAAGGAGGAAGGCAAATTTATTGCTTAAAACCTCCTGTCTCTCTCTCTTTTTTAAAAAACAAACTAAAACTCCAGTGTTTTAATGTTACCTACAGGGTTTTTTGTTTGAGAAACCATCCATTCAATTTTGCTTTATGTGGTTTTTATTGTTTGTTTGGGTTTTTTTTAAAGCAAGTTTTAACAGAATGACAGTTCAAGGGTTTGAGAAGGCTAGAAGGAAGTGCGGGGGAAAAGACTAGTTATTACACTGGACCTATTTTGTGCTTTTTCCTGAGGGAATTAGTTTGGGGGTGAAACTACAATTGCAGACAAACTAGTTTGGGCATCTGTAACATGTTTGATTACTGTACTAGATTTTCACCTCTGGAAACATGGATTCAAGTCCTGCTTGGACCACACGTGAAAAGTCTTATCGTAGTTGAGACTCCCGATTGTGCCATATTCTGTCTCTCTTCTCCAAGAGAAGGAAAAGCAGGATGTACCAAAGGTGAGAGTAGAGGTGCATTGGCAGAGCTGAATGAGGAAGCTTCCACAGCATCAGATTATGCTAGTGCTAGCAAAAATGAAGAGCACTAACTTCTTGAACAAATCCATTTAAAAGCCCAAAGGAACTGGTTTAGAGAGCCTTTAATGAACAAGGACCTACCCTAGAATGAAAATCCTTCTTGGGCATGAAAAGTATGCGTGAATGAAGTTCAGGGTCTAGCAGCCTGATTGTGTGCAAGAAAGTAGTGAGGAGGGTGTGGAGGGGACACCACCCTGATCAAAGTAAAGAAGAGCACAACCGCCATTTGACAAGCTTTGTGGGTGGAACATGTCCTTCTCCTGCCCATATTGTAGAGGAAATACTTGAATAAACTTTATATGATGCATCTGTACAGGTGAAGTTTTTTAGTGATACTGTTCTTTGAGCAAAACCATCTTTTGAGTAGAGGATACCCTCTGAGTGTTGTAGTGCCTCTTGGAAGGACTTAAAGAGCTGCTGCAGACCTTATATACAGTGTGTTCAATATCGCTGCAAAATCTTTTGCTGTTTCTTGCCAACTTGGTACTTCAGATTAGACTTGAACCTGAGCATTTGTTTTGTACCAGTACTTGCTTATACTTCTGCATATTGCATCCTTAAGAGGACATTCCATATGGTTATTTTACCCCAAATAGCTGGGTAACGCTAAATCTTTGGTACCATTTTCAGAAGTGCTACAGTGATTTAGGCTCCAAGTATCTTTTTCAAAACTGACTTGAGAAGCATAACTTGCTTTTAAAAAGAGACTTGGACCCCTAAGTCACTGTAGCAGTTCTGAAGATGTTATGTCTCGGCTCCAGTTAGGAATTCTTGCTATGGGGTGCCAGGCTTGCTTTTTTTTTTAAAAAATGAACACCAAACATTTTGAGTAAAGAAAATGGTGGTATATGGTTTTATATTTCTCTCTCTTTTTATTTTTTTTAAAGAGCTCTACACATGAAATGTGCCAAATCCTTTCAGATGAAGCTCTTGATTTATGTTGGCAAGAGGTATGGATTTCAGTGGTCCAACATATTTTTAGAACAGACAATTGCTGGGATTTTAAACTTTTTAATATTATTAGGCAAGTTTATGTTTTGTTTTACAGTATTTAAGTCATGTCAACATGCCTTAAACTTTCAGCAGTCCAGTGAACAGTTGAAACTAAACTCTAGCATTTGAGAGGGTGGAAAATATGGCTCTCTTTCTAACTTTGAGAGGTTGTGTAAAATTTTTGTAATACTGACTTTGAATGACTAAGCATACTAATAACAGTAAATATTAGCTGCTGCTCAAATCACTAGTTTCTCCTTCGATACAAGGAGAACTTGTGGAAACCTGGCACTCCAGTTGGATATCTTGTTGACGAGAGTTCTGAAGTCACCTACTGTGAAACAAGGAATGACAGTGTTCCTTTCTGTTCAAAAGCTTGTACTATTTGCAGGAGCTTCTATACACTAATGTTAACTAAGGGCAAGATCCTGCCCCATTACACTGGTCGGAAATGTAAAGTGTGTTTCATTGGTTTTAGTAGTTACTCCACACTTACATTTGCATGGCTGAGGAGAAAAAGCAAATCCAACGTGTAATTGCAAAATATTGCTGCTGTTTGGAACCTTGATGGAAGGACATAATCAGTTTTTTTGCAACTGACAGGAATGAGCACATTTGTCTGAGCAACATTTGGTTCGTTCTAACAGACTTTCTTTTCATAGCCTTTTATTGTGATGCCAAGCCCCTCAGGTGTACCTCCTTGTATTAAGGGTTCTGAATGATGACACTGCCTTGGTGCCACTAGTACTGCAAAAAAAATAAAAATAAAAAACAAGAAAAAAGAAATAGTAGACAGTATGCCATTTATAGAAGGTGTGACCCCCTGGTGTAGCAGGTCAGCCTTCTCATTAAGGAAAATGCACATCCTTCAAACAAAGCACTCCATAAAGCATTTCTTGCTCTTCAACTAGTCTTCCATTGTAAATTACAATGATTAAGGCTATAGAGACAGTTAATTCCAGGTAGAGTTGGAAAACTAAGATTAAAAACGGAATATCAAGCGTGTTGTATGTTATATTAAGTAAAAGAAGAGGGATAACCAAATGTGGCCTCCTGCATTGGAGGGTTGAACATGTGAAGTAAGCCAGGGTGTCCATTTTACAACACATCGGCTGCTACATGGTGACCATTGGCTTGGACTGCTCATATTGAGATTTTGCTCATTGGAATCTGTATGTTCTCCATATCAAACAGCACCCGTGTATTTAAAGATGTGGATAGGCCTGATCTATTCTGTGTTTCTAAGTTTAAATGCAGAACAGGGTCACTGCCAAACTGCCAGTGCTGTCATCTTAGAATATCAAGTCTACATGACACACGTCATGGGCTTTCAGGTACCAATCAATTTTTCAAGAACTAAGTGCAGAATTCCTGGGGTTTGGGTTTTTTAAAACACAATTACACTTCACAGTTTTTCTCCCCAGCAGCCAACCATGTGCCTTGCTCTAACTCTAATGCTGGGCAAAATTTACAAGTCTGCAAAGAGCCAGCACAAGAAATGTTGTTGTTAAATCCAACATGCTTCCAGCATTTAAGCGGGACTAAATTGGTTTATACCCCTTCTGCAAAAGGGTGGTTTGTCCACTGTCCTTTTAAATGATGGTGCCAGACAGACCTTTGTCTACAAGTCTTCCATCCTGTTTAGGAAAAACAGCAGTCTAGAGGCTTAAATTAGCATTATCTGTTTGCCTTTTTGATTTCCAAGTAGTGAACTAGAAGAGTGTCTACCCTACATTTAGGCCTATTGGTTTCAAAAGTGCCTTTGGCCACTTTGAATTCCCAGATGCTGTTTGGTAAGATCTTTATAATGTGAAGTAGTTCAAGGAAATTAAGTTCATGATTTTGGAGAACCATTTTTTTTTAGCCATCTGGTAAATATTTTTTGCTGAGGTAATTAACTGTCTAGCTGTGTTTGGTTAAATAAGTGCATTTCTATAGATGGGATTGTATAGTCATTTACTAATAAAAATCTGCAAGACTCATGGCAGACACTTGTATAAATTTGGAGAGAGGAGGGGGCAGGAATCCTTCTAGTGGACTGCTGGTACAGACCTATTTCTCGTTAACTTTGGGGCATTAATCAGAGTAAGGGTCCCTTCCCTTCTCGTGCCCAATTTCCATTGACCAATTCTGCCACAATGAGCCAATGAGGTAAAAGGCATTGACAATTCCTAAAGGTCTCTTTATGTTCTGTTGGTGAAGCTTGTTCCTACAGTCAGTAAGGTGCCCTCCTCTTTCTTAGCGCCCTGCCAATTTTGTGTGTCACTTATTGATTTTTCTTTTGTCATTCAAATCTGTTTTAGTGTGACCAAATGAACATCGGTGGTGGCCTTGTGTCTTGTGGTATAGAGTCTAATGAATCTGATATATGGGTACGAAACCACTGAATAACATACAAAGAGCCTTGGTTTATTTTATTTTTACTTTTTCCTGTGATCGTGATTTATGTGAATCTGTTGCTGGCAACAGATGTCATGATATTACCACCGTTCCTTAGTGATATACAACATTTTGTCACCCTGGATAAGTTCTGATTTGCCCCCCCCCCCCCCTCTCACCCCTTCATCTCCACGC